TTCAGAAAAAGTGGTCATGTTTGTTTGTTGGTTTGGAGACAGGGTCTCCCTCTGTCTCCCTCCAGACTGGAGGGCAGTGGCCCAATCTCAGCTTACTGCAACTTAAGCCTCCCAAGTTCAAGTGATTCTCCCACCTCAGTCTGCCGAGTAGCAGGGATTACAGGCATGTGCCACTGCACTTGGCCAAAAAACTCATCTTTGTTATGAGCCACAAAGGTTACCACAAAATAAATAATTACAGATGAAATGTGTATTCCATCTTCAGATAACCATGTCTGTTTTTCACAGATGAAGTGTTACCTGGACAGACATAAAATCACATGCAAAAGAGACAGAAAGTACATATGATTTCTTCTCTTGGTATCATGTGGAGGCTTTGCTTGGGCTACAGCATAGCTGAATTGTCATGCATTGCGACCATTCATGGAGACCTCCCTGTGAATGCACAGGCACTCCATTTCCCTACTGTGAGGCAAGTAAGAAAGTTGAATTTACCATGGTAGATAGTAAATAATTTGATCCCAACCAACAAGCAATCTGAAGAGCTCAGGTGACACTGTTTACTGTGGTATTCTGAAAACTGCCAACTGCTCAGAATCTGTAGACTTTCTCCCACCCACGTACCGTCCTGTGGAGATCTAAGTTTGTTCATATTGCAGTGCTTGGAGGATGGGAAACTTGTCATGTGGGAAATTCAGCCCACCCACTGATAGATGGGCTGTGTTGGTCTCAGGTCCAACTTCTCCCTTAGCAGCCCACAGAGTTGCTAGGGTCATGTATCACACAACTCTTCCTTTCCCTAAAGTGTTTCTCATACTTTCTGCTACTTCCTGTGAGTCACAAGGGCTACCTCATAACTTGGTCCCATCCCAATCAAATTACGATCCTACGATCCTTTGAACTCAGCCAGCTGGACAAAGGTCACCTGCCATGGGAATAACAGAAGGAAGCTCAAACTTGGAAGGAAGTTAAAACCTGCCCTTTGAAGCTGAAGTGTGTCTACTCAGGAATCATTAAAATCCAGGTCCTTGTGAAGCACATCCATCCAGCCATCTGATGGCATGACTTTAACTATTTGCTAATTAGATGCTCATAGAAAATCTAAACCCAGATGTCACTATCTCCAAATCTTTGAACACTTCTGAGTGCACTATACTAAAAACTGGAGTTAACAAGGAGAAAATGCAAGTAAAATTTAGTAATGACAGTGTCCTTGTCAAGAAAGAACAAAAATGATAACAGATAAACTAAATAATAGATCAGGATTATGACTGCTCTCATTCCTTAAATAAACTTTGAGAACTACAATGTCTACTCAAGCAGCTTTTTGGAGAGAGAGAGAGAGAGAGAGAGAGAGAGAGAGAGAGAGAGAGAATTGAGGAACCTCTTTTTTCCTACTCAAGGTATCTCCTTAAAAGGAGCCCAGCTGTGGCCAAGTGCAGTGGCTCACTCGTGTAATCCCAGCACTTTGGGAGGCTGGGCTGGGCGGATCACTTGAGGTCAGGAGTTCAAGACCAGCCTGGCCAACATGGTGAAACCCTGTCTCTACTAAAAATAAAAAAATTAGCTGGACATAGTGTGTAATGGCACGTGCCTGTAATCCTAGCTACTTGTGAGGCTGAGGCAGGAGAATCACTTGAACCTGGAGGCAGAGGTTGCAGTGAGCCAAGATCGTGCCACTGCTGCATTCCAGTCTGGGTAACAGAGTGAGGCTCCATCTTAAAAAAAAAAAAAAAAAAAAAAAGCTGAGCCACTTAGAATATATAGGTGTCAGTTCAACAAATGTATTTATAAAAGGCTACATTCTGATCAGGGTCCCTTTCTTATCTTTCCCTTCCTTCCCTATACTATTTTGCAAATTAAACTGCTAGGTAATCTAAAAGTAATAAGAACAGGACTCATGGGCACAGTTTACTGTCTATATTAATGAAAGTTTATACTTTACTGGCTTCATTAACATAATTTTACTAATACAGGAATCTCTTACCTAGGAAAATAAAAATTGCAAAAATTCTTTATTGTTTTTTCCAGAAATTGCCTGAAAGATCCATCAACTCCTCAATAAAAAGTGTCAAATGAAAATTTTCAAATCCAAAACTCTTTGAACCCCTTGTCTAAAAAGTATTGTCTTGCTGCATCCACCAATCCTAAATCATTATGACTCCTACCTAATTCTAACCAAACCATCCCCCACTTTAAAACACCCACTTTATACCAGACATCAAAAGCAGAACAAATATACCTAAAGCCCTTCCACATCTGACATACTAGGGTCTCTGCGGAGGTAGTGCTCTACCTTATAGCTTTATGCAAATAATGCCAGCACTGTCTTATGAACAGGTTATTTGGCTGATATTTGGGGAGCAGAGTATATGATGAGCATAGTCACCACTGCTGTATATCATGTCACAATAGACTAAGCCCAAATTCTGGGACCAATATTATGTTAGTCCGTTCTTACTCTGCTGTAAGGACATACCTGAGAGAGGGTTATTTATAAAGGAAAGAGATTTAATTGATTCACAGTTCCACAGAGCTGGGGAGGTCTCTGGAAACTTATATTCATGGAAGAACTGGAAGCAAACACATCCTTCTTCACATGGCAGCAGAAGAGAGTAGAATGAGGAAAAGGAGAAAAGCCCCTCATAAAACCATCAGATCTTGTGCGAACTTACTATCACAGGAACAGCATGAAGGTAACCACCCGCATGATTTCAATACCTCCCATCAGGTCCTTTCCACAGGACATGGGGATTATGGGAACTACAATTCAAAAAGAAATTTGTGTGGGGACAGAGCCAAACCATATCATATGTATGGGTATTTCTGCACCATACACTGTCTGAATGGCCTACAGGTATATTCAGAGAAATCAGTTGCCAGTCCAGAGATTAAAATGTGCAATAATACAACCTAAAAAAGGAAGAGGTGTGAATTTATTTAGTCTACACAAGTGGTTCAATTCATTGGTAGTAGCACGGCAGAAAATCTCAGACCAGAGAAGGAAGTTATTAATCAAAGCATGCATAAAAATTGGCCAAGGTGTCAGGATCACTTGGGCCCAGGAACTGAAACAAGCCTGGACAACATGGTGAGATTCACTCTCTAAGTAAATAAATAAATAAAATAGTTTGGTGTGGTGGCACACACCTGTAGTCCCAACTACTCGGGAGGCTGCGTCTTGAGAATTGCTTGCACCCAGGAGATCCAGGCTGCAGTGTGGTAGTCATGCCATTGCCCTCCAGCCAGGGTGACAGAGTAACACCCTGTCTGAAAAAAAAGGCATGTATAAATGTAGACATTGAAATAATTTCTGTTGCAAATGGCCTTTCTGAGACACATCAATCACTAAGGTTGACATGGGACTATCCGTTCCCAAAGTTTTTGGATGCATAAAAATGTTAGGGCAAGAGAGAGAGAAAACAATAGCTCTTAAGTCCCTTTCTACTACAAACATACTGGGGATTCGGATGTGGGGACAGCAGGAAATCCCCGGCTGACCCTGTATGTGCCTGACTCAGTGTGCATGCCCCTTGCTGCCCAAGTCCCTTGTTGTCCATGTGCCTTGCTGTCTGCCCTCCATCCCTGCAGAGCTGTGCTAGAAGAAGTAGTGACTTCCTTCTGTCTTGCCGACTAGGAGTCAGCGAGTGGGTTCGCAGATCAGTAATCCTAGAGGTTTAAGTGTGAGTGAGTGTGAGGAGAAGCTCGTAGACATGGTCCATGGCCTCCTAGGTGGAAGGGCACCATCCTTCTCCTAACAGGCAGCGATGCAACCATGGCCTTGCTGTCGTTGGAGGTGCCGGACAAGGGAGTAAGGAGGACCGTAGAGGGGAGGAAGATCAGGTGAACATGAAAGGGGGAAACTATTTGTTGTATTTAAGGCCCTGAGGCATAGGAAACCCGCTCACAGAGGATGCATTCCAAAGTCCTCAGTGGGAAACAGGAAGGGGAAGGAGGATTGCATGGCATGGAATGGGGTGCAGCAAGGCCGGGCAGGCACAGACTTCAGTGTGCTTGCTCCTTGGGTGCTTGCCTGACAGCACATATTCACTGGGCGTCTTCCCTTCAGCTCCTTTGCCCACGTGGTGAACGCTGTGGAGCTGTGAGACTGTGAGGGTAGCGTTCCAGCTGTCTGGACTCTCTGTCTCCTACTGAGATGCAGCCTGTAGGTCCACAGGCCAGTCCTCCCAGGAATTCAAATGTGAGTGAATGTGAGGAGGAGCCAGCAGGCTTCCAGAGGGGGAGGCAGTGTGGTCTGTAGCCTCAGAGGCAGAAGAGCCTCCAGGTCATAAGGAAGGTGGGCCATGGAGTGAAGGGGGATCAGATGAAGATGGGGTGAGTGTTGGGGGTGCTGTTGGAGGTATCAGAGTCTTAGAAGTGTCTGGAACCCCCAGTAGGGGACAGATTCCAGACTTCTTGGTGGGGACCCAGGAATGGGCTGTGTGGGCAGTAGGGAAGGTGCCTGGGAACTGGGAATGCTATGAGCTGGTGACCGCAGCCCCAAGGTCTGTAGAGTGCCTGGTAGAAGTGTCCAGTGGCAACCACCCAATGCTGTGTCACAACTTTTCAACTCCGCCCTGGAGGTTCGAATTGGGGGGACTGTGTGTTCCAACAAAACTTTGATTTTAGGGAGGAAATCATCCAAGCAAAGGATGTGTGATGAAAGCCGTGGTCACTGCAGTTTTAATTCTCTAGCTGTATAAGTTTAAATATCTCCACGATGGAGAACCCAGTTGTGAAACCAAACCTCATGGGAAAGATCCCGTGTCATTTGCCAGGAGCATTAAGACATTGGTCTGCTAGCTTGCCAAACATAAGTGGCTTTTCAAGCATTCGATTCAGAAGATATACACACTTCTACTCGCCCTAGGACTTACTTTCAAAGTATTTCCATTTTTTTTACTGGCTGAGATTTAACATTTGGCCATGGAAGTAGTCAAATATAACTATTCTCTCAAACACACTTTCCCAATCACAGTATTCTGTTTGCAGAGTGAAATATGAGTTGGCGAGGAAGATCAACATATAGGCCTAGGCCAAGAAGTTTACAGCCTCCTGAGCTGACTGGGACTATGCTTGTGAGTGCTTTGACATTTCTGTGTTTTTTATTAGCAGAAATTTCTTTTGTGATAGTGTTGTTGCACTAGTATCGATACACTGATAAATGTCTTTCATGTTGATAAAACTGATCATGGCATCTCATGAAGGAAAGACTAATCCAAGAGGATTACATTCTGGTTTTGCCTGCATGGATAATCTTGTGTTCTCTACCATGACTTCCTCCTCATGCTTATGGATAACAGATTGCACAAATCCATCCCAACATAGATTAAAATGGCTTCCAAAGCCTTTGAGGGTAACTGTCTTAGAGTAACCTCTCTTTGGGAAGAGTAACTTTGTGAAGAATAAGTATATGGGATAATGTTGGAGAAGTGTCTTTAGACTTACTTGTGATTAGAAGTATCTGTGTATTCTGTATATTTTTATTATTGACATGTATTAATAACAAGACTTTGTATCTGCACACACACTGCCTTCCCTTTGTCCCAGGAGCCCAGTGTTGAAGAGCCTGAAGAAGAGAAACCACCCACTGAAAGTCGGGATCCTACACCTGATCAGAAGAGAGAAGATGATCAGGGTGTAGCTGAGATTCAAGGTGCTGGAAAGGGAAAGAAATAATGTCTGTTGTGGGGAGGAGGCCTATGTGTGCATCATGCTTTATGCCATGACCAGTAAAAGGAGGAAACAAAACGTTAGGAAAGAACCTCAAACATTTGCTCAGAGTAGGCTGGAAAAGTGAAGAGCATAGTTTGCAGCTTCGTGCATTCCCTGGATATAATAAATCTCTTTTTTTTTCAAGATTAATTTTGTATGCTTGAAAATACATCTCTTGCTAAATAAGATGAAGCTTTAATTTGATATATAAAAATGTACATTATTTCACTTGATTAATTTGATCTTCTTAGAATGTTGCTGTATGATTGGCTTAGCTGTGGTGTTAACAGTGTTGTAAGCATCCTTTTCTAGTCACCCTACCTTACAACACCCTGAATAAATCCCATTTGCATAGGGATGTTAGCCCTATTTTATAGAAAGGAAATGGATGCTCAGAGATTGAGGTTTACCGAGAACACTTGAGTCATGGAGACAGAATTCATATTAAGTTCCAAGGTTTGTGTTCTTCCTGTCATCTACGTTGTTAGAGAACATGAATGATTTTGCTTAAAATACTTGATACTCGAAGGTGTCTCTACTGTAAGCTACTTCAGTATTGGCTCAGGAGAAAACACAGTTCAGTAAAGCAGTACAGCAACTCCAGAAAAGTGCTTAGTGAACGACAGCCACTGTTGTCTTTGATCGATATTTTTGACAGTACCTTTGGTAAAAGGTGGATTTTTAAGGAAATTTTAAAAGTTGCCTAAACACTTTTATAATTAGAAAACTCAAAATACCATAAAATTATAGTACTTAAAGTACTATAAAATTAAAGCACTATAAAATCAAAGTACTATAAAATTATAATTTTTAAATCCTGAACTCTCACTGGAAGACTGCGATTTTCCTCTTATTTATGATACTATATTCTCAATGGGATTTATTTATAAAAAGTTATATATAGGGCCTTTGGACCTAAAAATAACTTTAATTAATTTTAACCAAGTAATTTTCAAATTACCTCAACAAGATGCAGCTGTCACAATTGTAAGTTTTTGTCATAAGCCCAGGAATTCATCGATCTAATCTTCCAGAAAATTACCTTTGAGTTATTATTAAAATGCTATGCATACAGCAAACTTCAGATATCTTACATAATTGATACTCACTATTTATAAAGCACAATGGCAAAGTATAGGAAATGAGGGTGCAGTGTGATTTATCCTTAGATTGTCATTTTAAATTAGATTTCACGCCAGTTGCATTGGCTCACACCTGTAATCCCAGCAATTTGGGAGGCGGAGGCTGGTAGATCCCTTGAGCCTGTGTTAGGAACCAGCCTGGGAAACATGGAGAAACATCAGAAAATTTTCTGTGCCAAAAATAAATACAAAAATTAGCCTTGGTGGTGGCATGTGCCTGTAGTCTCAGCTATTCACAAGGCTGAGACGGGGGATTGCTTGAGTTCAGGAGGTCAGGGCTGCAGTCATCTGAGATCACACCCCTGTACTCCAGCCTGGAAGATAGAGTGAAACCCTGTATTAAAAAATAAATACATAAAATAAAACAGGAATTCATAATACAGGAAAATAAAGGTGTGACATCTTTGTGTCACATTTATTATCACACTAACCTACAGGCTTTTATTTCATAATTCTGTGGAACAGAATATTATTACTTCCTTAATTATACTTCATGTTTGTTTACTTAAGTTTACAACCTTTGTATTTTTTAGTGCCTGACCTGGAAGCTGATCTCCAGGAGCTGTGTCAGTCAAAGACTGGGGGTGAATGTGGAGACGGTCCTGATGTCAAGGGGAAGATTCTACCCAAAGTAGAGCACTTTAAAATGCCAGAAGCAGGTGTGTTATTCATTAAGACGCAAAATTATGTGATTTCTATTTTTTATAATGTTATAATTTTGATCATAGAGAGATAACATTATTGCCAATTTAATAACGTGTTTCAAATACACACTTTTTTGAAAGGTAGTTCAGACCCCAAATGCCTGACTGCAAGACTTAAACACTACCAGATACAGACACAAATTGGGTAAAGACATATTGAATTATCCAATATTAAAGCATTTACTTATTTCTGAGTATAACCAACAGCTAACAATTTTCAGATTCTTTTCCAATTTCTGCTTTTAACAAATACATCATGCATTTGTAGTACCAGACTGTGTGAAATATGCTGAGCACTGAATATCAGATCTATGATAATTTGTGAGATTCTGGACAAATTCCCTAAATTCTACACCCAAATTTGCTGTTATTGAAAATGGTGAATTCAAATCAAATGTATTAAAAATCTGTTTCAATGCTCAGCTCTTGTTCTGTTGGACAGAATACAAAGATATTCCAGTTTCCATGATTTGTTTTTCCTAACAATCAGATTCTGTCCAATTATAGTATCTGAGCTGAAATTTCATTGCTCCTAAGAAAATGAGCGGGCACTCTGCTTGATATTTGTTTTCCAGTATGTAGACCTTCATGAGTATTCTTGGATTTTGTCAATTTCTGAATTGTCTGGCTCTTAAAGAATAATTGCATTTTAAAGCCTTCCCACAGTGAAGCCTTCAATGACTGAGTAATAAAATAGCAAGAGACAGTCTAGTTTCTGTGGTCGATGAAGTAGGGAGAACGCATGTAGGTCAGTGATGCTCAAGGTGGGTGTAAGATGCCTGTGCTAAGCATGCTCCCTGGCCTCCTGTCAGTCTTCATGAGCTACTGTGTATAATAAAGACACATATGATATTATCACCTCTAACCATATAATAGGTTATGTATTACAGGTTTCTAGCCTGACACATCAGATGATAGGACTTAAAGTTCAAAGACCATAAGGTACTAATTCCTGAGTAGTCCACATAAGTATCTTTTACACATGTTTTCCAAATTGCTGACTGTTAACTAGAAGAGTTTCTGAATTTGCAGGAAGAATTCCAGTTTCAGGGAAGAAATTATCTAAATGTTTTTACTCCGCACTGCTGAACCATTCTGTTAAACTATTCACATTAAAAGATAGTTTTCAAGAGCCTATTGAACAAGTCTCAGTTGTATTCTTAGAAAGATCATAGCCTTAAATGCACATCTTATTAAAATAGATAGCAAATTACATGATAAAATAGCAATCATATATATAATAATAAAAGAGCAACAGAATAAACCTAATGGAAAAGGAAAGACGTACATAATAACAGACAGGTATGAACCATTAGTAAAAGGAAAACTAATCCAAAAGTAATACATTTAACACATTGTTAATTTTAAAATAGCTAGTTTCCACAGTCTTGAAGAGAATGGGAAAAGCACAATACAGAATATGAAGAATACACAGATATTGAATATATAGTATAACTGAAAGTGAATACATTCTGTTTTGTTTTGTTTATGAGACAGAGTCTCGCTCTGTTGCCCAGGCTGGAGTGCAGCAGCATGATCTTCACTGCAACCTTTGTTTCCCAGGTTCAAGTGATACTCCTGCTCAGCCTACTGAGTAGCTGGGACTGCAGGCATGCACCACCATGCCCAGCTATTTTGTATTTTTGGTAGAGATGAGGTTTTGCCATGTTGGACAGGCTGTTCTCAAACTCCTGACCTCAGGTGATCCATCTGTCTCAGCCTCCAAAAATGCTGCGATTACAGGCATGAGCCACTATGCCCACCTGAAAGTGAATACATTCTTAAACTCTAATATTTTCAGAATATAGATGAAATCGTTGATAAGCTAGGAATGCATACATTATTAAATATATCCCAGTAATACTTGAATATCTATTCATCACAAACATGATGAATGAATTTGTGAAATTTGCCAGTGGTCCCTTGATAACACTTAGTTTAAGAAACAAATATTTAGTGGTTCTAGATGTCTTCTGCTACAACTCCATTTCTCTCTCCATTTCTTTTTTTGTATCATACTGTTCATGATATATACCTCTTTCATATTTTGATATCAATAATGATAATGATAGATTAAAATGAATGTGATGATATAATTAATTATACAAAGGGGAATTTGTTCAGGTGTAAAAAGAGATAATTGGAACCAAAAAAGAGCCTGGATAGCCAAGACAATCCTAAGCAAAAAAAAAAAAAAACAAAAAAACACACCAAGCTGGAAGCATCATGCTACTTGACTTCAAACTACCACAAAACTGCAGTAACAAAAACACCATGGTACCAAAACAAATATATTGACGAATGGAATAGAAGAGAGGCCTCAAAAATAACACCACACGTCCACAACCATCTTATCTTTGACAAATCTGACAAAAACAAGCAGTGGGCAAAGGATTCCCTATTTAATAAATGGCGTTGGAAAAACTAGCTTGCTGTATGCAGAAAGCTGAAACTGGATCTCTTCCTTACACCTTATACAAAAGTTAATACCAGATGGATTAAAGATTTAAACATAAGACCTACTTCCATAAAAATCCTAGAACAAAACCTAGACAAAACCATTCAGGACATAGGCATAGGAAAGGACTTCATGACTAAAACACCAAAAGCAATGACAACAGAAGCCAAAACAGACTAATGGGAACTAATTAAAATTAAGAGCTTCTGCACAGCAAAAGAAACTATCATAGAGTGAACCGGCAACCAACAGAATGGGAAAAAATTTTGCAATCTACCCATCTGACAAAGGGCTAATATCCAGAATCTACAAAGAAGTAAAACAAATTGACAAAAAAAAAAACCAACCCCATCAAAAAGTGGGCAAAGGATGTGAACAGACATTTTTCAAAAGCAGACATTTATGCAGCCAACAAACATATGAAAAAAAGCCACACCTTTGGTCCAGGAGCCCAGTGATGAAGAGCCTCAAGAAGAGAAACCACCCACTGAAAGTCAAGATCCTACACCTGGTCAGAAGGGAGAAGAAGATCAAGGTGCTACTGAGATTCAACGTGCTGGGAAGGGAAAGAAAGAATGTCTATGGTGGGGGGTGGGTAGAGGAGTCCTAGATGTGCATCATGATTTATACCATAAACAGTAACAGGAGGAAAGAAAACATTAGGAAAGGATCTCAAACACTTGCTGAAAGTTGGCGGGAAAAAGTGAAGAGCATAGTTTGCAGCTTCATGCAGTCTCTGATTACAATGAATCTTATCTTTTTCTTTGAGGTTTATTTTGCATTCTTGAAAATACAGTCCTGGACTGATTCAAGATGGCATGGTGAGAACAACCCAGGATTGAAGCTCTCAGTGAATGCATGGAGGGTGAGTCAGGGCCGCATTTCCAGACAGATCTTTGTTGCCCACAGAACGGGGAAATTCCCAGGTATAAAAGAGATGCAGGACGCCAGTGAAGCAGGTTTGGCTGGTGCAGGTGGCAGCCGCTGCAGTTGGTGGCTGGCGCTGCAGCGCAGCGGCGCTCCACAGTGCTCCACACAAAGCGCACTGGTCCGGGTGCCCTGTTTAACCGGCAATCTGAGACTTGAGAAGGCAGATTGGCATATCCATCTGATTGAATGGGACTTGGACAGTGAGCCAGGCCAGGAGATTCTAGGGAAACGGCATTTGGGCCAGGGCAGTGGGACAAACAAAACAGCGATTCCAAATGCTCCAGGTGCAGAGTTTCACTGTGGGCACAGCTGAACCCAGGATGGTACAGTGCGGTGGGGGAGGGGCGTTTGCCATTACTGAGGCAACCCGCCCCTACTGAGGTACACTCCCATTGCTGACACAGGCTGCCATTGCTGAGGCAACCCGCCACAACAGAGAGACTCCACTGCAGGGCGTAGCCAGTGGCAGCAGGGCGGAGACCGCAGCAGCAGGGCAGAGCCTGCAGCAACAGGGTGGACCTCACACCAGCAGGGCAGAGGCTCGGCAGGCAAATAGTGACTAGACTGCCTCGTAGCTGGGCAGGACAGCACAACGGACACATAAAGAAAGCCCCAACCCCCCCAGACAGAGCATCTGAGAAAAAAGGGTTTTTTTAATGAGTTCTGCTGCAGCAGAATTAAATGTAGCAGCTTAACAACCCTGAATGAACAACAGAGCTCACAGATCAGCACTTGAGCTCCTATAAAGTACAAACTGTCTCCTCAAGCACCTCCCTGACCCCTCTATATCCAGAAGACTGATATTTGGCAGGTATCATTCTGGGACAAAGATAGCAGAAAAAGAAACTGGTAACATCCCTCACTGTTCTGCAGCCGCTATAGGTGCACCCCAGACACGCAGGACCTGGAGTGGACCTCAGCAGTCATACAGTGGAGGGGCTAGACTGGTAGAAGGAAAACCAAGTAACAGAAATACTTCATCATCAACAATCTGGACGTCCACTCAGAGACCCAATCGAAAAGTCAGCAACTACTCAGACGACAGGTGGATAAATCGACAAAGATAGGAAGAAACCAGTGCAAAAATAAGGAAAACACCCGAAACCAGAACACCTCGCCTCCTACAAAGGACCAAAACTCCTCACAAGCAAGGAAACAAAGCTGGATGGAGAATGACTGTGACAAAATGACGGAATTAGACTTCAGAAGGTGGATAATGAGAAACTTTTGTGAACTAAAAGAACGTGTTTTAAATCAATGCAAAGAAACTAAGAACCTTGAAAAAAGATTTGAAAAAAGATTCGAGGAAATGATAACAAGAATGGATAACTTAGAGAGGAATATGAATGAATTAAAGGAGCTGAAAAACACAACAGGAGAACTTCACAAAGCATGCACAAGTTTCAACAGCCAAACTGAACAAGCAGAAGAAAGAATATCAGAAGTCGAAGACCAACTCAATGAAATAAAACGAGAAACCAAGATTAGAGAAAAAAACGCAAAAAGGAATGAACAAAGTCTCCAAGAAATGTGGGACTATGTGACAAGACCTAACCTACGTTTGATAGGTGTACCAGAACCGGACGAAGAGAATGAATCCAAGCTGGAAAATAGCCTTCAGGATATTACCCAGGAAAATTTCCTGCACCTAGCAAGGCAGGCCAACACTCAAATCCAGGAAATACAGAGAGCACCATAAAGATATTCCGCAAGAAGAGCAACCCCGAGGCACATAATCGTCAGATTCACCAGGGTTGAAAT